TGTCTCTTCTTCTCACCAAGGCTGCATTTATTTGATCAAAAATACAGTAAAAACAGTAATATTGTGAAATATTATTACAATTCAAAATAGCTGTTTTCTATGTGAATATATGTTCAAATGTAATTTTATTTCTGTGATCAAAGCTGTATTTTCAGCATCATTACTCCAGTCTTCAGTGTCACATGATCCTTCAGAAATCATTCTAATATGCTGATTTGCTGCTTATATTTTTCTGAAAACCACGATAAAAGTTCAAAATGATAGCATTTACTGTGTCTTTACTGTAATTTTTGATTAATTTAATGCATCCTTGTTATTCTGAAGAATCACTACTTGCATGTTATCTTTCATTTTAGAGAGAACCAAGACCAAAAGTAATGCCGTTTTGTTTTGCCTTTTGAAACCAAAGAGTGATGTAATATGTAGAAATACTGTAATATTCACTACACAAAGAAGCAGATTAGCCAGTCATAATGCAGGCCAATTACATATAAAGTCTTAAAGGAACAGTAACCGTTTACTTTTTGAAGTAAGAACTTTGAGTAACATTGTAGGTAAACATCAAGCAAACAAGTGTAGATTGTGGCTCTTAAAGTAGCTGATCTGTATAAATGTCTGCTGTAATGTTATGGATAGCGCTGTTGTGGTCCCCCGTGGGTGAAGTGAAGTATATTTTGAGAGCGAGTCTCTTTCAGTGAGATTCCTGGTTTTGTGCGGGAGCTGTCAGCTGTTTTCTGAGACAGTATCCAGAGCCGCTCGTGTCAGCTTTGATCAGCCCCTGCAGGCCCCCTGCCTCACAAAGGGCTGCCTGTGTCACTGCCCAAGCGATTTTCCCGCCCACCGCTCTGCTAGTCGTCTCAGTAGATCTCTTCAGAAGTGTATACACACACACACACACTGATCCACAGACAGCCCACCTTCAGGGGCAAGAAAACACCATGAACGTGTTCATACATCACAGTCACGTGATAGCTGTACAACTTTGAAAGCATGAGTTTAAATTTTTAACTCGGTCACGTTAAATTTGAGGAATAGTAGGCTAATGGGGAATTTTGACTTAGAAAACACCACTAATTGGTTGGGCTGGGCGATATGGCCAAAAATATTATCACAATATGTTTTTCCATATAATTTGATATCAATATTTATCACAACATTCATTTCATACCATTAATAGGGATGGAAATGCATTCTACATTTTTGTTAGATCTTATGAATGTAATCATATTTTGTTTGTTTAAAGTAAACTTCATTGAATAAGCTACACTCTAAAAAATGCTGGGTTAAATACAACCCAGTGCTGGGTAAAATAGGGACAAACCCAGCAATTGGGATGTTTTGACCCAGCGGTTGGGTTACTACCCAGAAGGTTGGGTTAAACATTTAACCCAACCGCTGGGTCAAAACAACCCAATTGCTGGGTTTGTCCCTATTTTACCCAGCACTGGGTTGTATTTAACCCAGCATTTTTTAGAGTGTACCTTTTCATTTAGGGCCCCATTAAATCAGTTATATTTTTCTGTGTTTTCTTTAAAAAAAAAAATTCTGGATTCAGATTTATCATCAAATTTATCATCAAAAATGGTGTCTTATGGAATGAATTCATAACATTTTATGTTTAACCCAACCTTCTGGGTAGTAACCCAACCACTGGGTCAAAACAACCCAATTGCTGGGTTTGTCCCTATTTTACCCAGCACTGGGTTGTATTTAACCCAGCATTTTTTAGAGTGTACCTTTTCATTTAGGGCCCCATTAAATCAGTTATATTTTTCTGTGTTTTCTTTAAAAAAAAAATTTCAGATTTATCAAATTTATCATCAAAAATGGTGTCTTATGGAATGAATTCATAACATTTTAACAATTGAATCAATCTTTTAAAGTGTAATCAAATTAAAATATAATGATTCATTTAACAGAACTTGTATAAAATGTAAAAAATAAATAAATGGTTGTATGATATTCCTTAAAAAAATAAATTAATAATAATAATACATATATTTTTTATTATTAGCAATAGCAACAAAAATAATGATAATACATATTTTAATACATATTATTATTATTATTATTATTAACAACTGCAACAAATACAACAATACTACTACTACTAATAGTAATAATAATAATAAATATTTATTAAATAAATATGGTTTTGTAAGGAATATCGTATAACCAAGATATTATAATAATAATAATAATAACTCTGGTTTTAATCATTTTATTAGTATATAATAATAATGTTATTATTATTATTATTATTATTATTAACAACTACAATAAATACAATAATAATATTTATTATTATAAATATTTTTAAAGGGGTCCTATTATGCTTTTTCACTTTTTCAACTTTAGTTAGTCTGTAATGTTGCTGTTTGAGCATAAAAAATATCTGCAAAGTTGCAAAGCTCAAAGTCCACTTCAAAAGGAGATATTTTATTTAACAGAAATCACTTTTCAAAAACTACAACGAATGACTCGTTTGGACTACAACGCATATTTTCCGGGATTTGTGATATCACAAATATCGACGAATTGGATGAGACCTGGTTGAGCTGCACTAGAGAAAGCAACGAGTGCTATCACTATGTCAGAGACACGCTAGCTTTCCCAAAGCAGACGAACTTAGAGTGGTTACAATCATCCAGGTTTAAATCGCACTCAAATTGATTTGATTTTGACGCAATATTTACACTGAAGCTCGCAGGCGGCTATGGTAAGGGGCATGACATTTCCCGACCAGGCACCGAGTGCTGCCAATCACAACACACACTGGCCCAGCTAACCAATCACAGCACATTTCGTATTTCAGAAGGCGGGCCTTCATTTGATACAGGAACTATTTGAGCCGTTCATGCCAGGCTGGGGAGAGAGGTATTGTAATAATGTAGAATATGTGAAAAATAATGTGTTTTTCGAACAACCTAGTATGAGAGCCTTTTCTAGTACACCCCCAAAACTAAATTAAGACTTTGTAAAAGACCATAATAGGACCCCTTTAAGGAATATCGTAAAACCAGGATATTTTTAATAATAATAATAATAATATTTCAATTCATTTAAATCATTATCATCATTATTACTTTCATTTATTGTTACTTTTACCTTGGTATGGTTCTCTACTATAGTAGCATATTTCTTTCATAAATTTGTCAAGTTAAACCAAACTTTTATTTTATTTCTGGTATCATTAATAGTCTCTCCTTTCACTTTGATAACTGAGCTTTTGCTTTCAGATTGACTTTCACAAATGCTGATTAAGATTAGCTCTAGGTTATGAAGATCTAGTCAATATCCAGAATCATCTCTAGTTATAATTCATATCTGGTGTGTGTTTTCGTTCACTCGACGAGAAAGCTGTAGAAATACTAATGGCAAAGAAGAACTGTCATTAATGAGTTATCATGATTTGAACAGAGTTCATGTGTCTCTGGGTCATATCAGCAATTCTGCATTACACAAACACGTTAGCCAAGACGAAAAGAACATTCTTACATAACGTCAAATGACATAATTGTGTCTGTTATGGGAAAAGACAAGCGAATGTATGGGAAACCAGACCACAGGATTCAAATATAGTGGCAATATTGTGAAATGCATAATGCTGGGAACATTATTAAATGCATAAATGTGTGCATTTGTTTGGTTATTGAAGTATGGAGGTGCATTTATTCAGGTGCATTTATTCAGGAGCGTTGATCATCTTCGCACCAAAGTACTGATGATACTGTTAAAATTGCCTTTCGCACACAGAAATAAGTCTTGCGTCAGGCTCAGCTGCAGAATGATAAAGTGTATTTGTCCTGTTGAGTGAGTTGCACTTCTGTGTTTGTGGTCAGAGCCAGCGCTTTTCTGTCTGTCACAGCAGTCGTCTGGGGTTCAGACTGGGACGCGGCTGATATCGCTCTCGCTGGCGTCTGTCGGCTGGTGGTTTTTGAGGAACAGTGAAAGAGGAAGTGAAAGATGATTGGTGTAGTGATGTGTGGTCTGGATTGCCAGCAGTGACCTCCTGAAAGCTGAAGTCTGTTAAACATGCAAGACGAGACAATAATGCAGATTAATGATGCATACACTAGTAGCTCAAACCCTACAGGAAAAAACTTTTCTTTTTTTTTTTCATGCAACTGTTTTGCTTCCATAACATGTCTTTACACATACGTGAATTTATGGAGTGATAAAAAGAGAAATCCCCTCAATAAAAACCTTTAACTTTAAGCAGAGGCGGACAGTAACTAAGTACATTTACTTGAGTAATTTTTTCAATGTATGCTTCAGACACGGGTCACGACGAGGCGTTCCCCATAGCGACCCCTAGAGGACGCAGTTCGAAGTTCCCTTGAAAGGGTACCAAGGTTTCTGTAGTAATAAGCTAGTGATAATAATAGTGATATGTATTAGTTACTCTTTTTACTCTATTCACCTGTAATGTCTTGACTTAAATATAGACTCTGGATACAATGGATAAAATCATCTCCCAACTTCATAAATGTGACCCTGGAGCACAAAACCAGTCTTAAGTCGCTTGGGTATGTTTGTAGCAATAGCCAAAAAAACATTGTATGGGTCAAAATTATCCTTTTTTTTTAATGCCAAAAATCATTAGAATATTAAGTAAAGATCATGTTCCATGAAGATATTTTGTAAATTTCCTACCATAAATATATCAAAACTTAATTTTTGATTAGTAATATGCATTGTTAAGAACTTCATTTGGACAACTTTAAAGGTGATTTTCTCAATATTTTGATTTTTTTTGCACCCTCAGATTCCAGATTTTCAAATAGTTGTATCTCAGCTAAATATTGTTAACAAACCATACATCAATGGAAAGCTTATTTATTTAGCTTTCAGATGATGTATAAATCTCAATTTCGAAAAATTTACACTTTAGACTGGTTTTGTGGTCCAGGGTCACAAATGTGAATGTTCTAAAGATGTAGAACTACTTGACTGTGATTGGTCAGTCGCTGAAGTGAGGTGTGTTTTCTGTGTTTTAGCTGCTGGAGTCTCCGGAGGTGAAGGAGGACGCTGTGCTCTGCTGTTCTATGGAGGTGAGTTTAACACATTCATAATGAACGAGAGACTGAGACCAGCGACTGGCCCAAACCCTCGTGTGTCTGATTAACTTCTTCATCAGAGGAAGATGCTTTCCACACAACAGCAGATCTGGAGTGTGTCGTGCTCGTTTAGAAATGCAGGCAGTTTTGTCTGTATGTTTACTTCTTTCCCTTTTGTTTAGTTTTTTTCTCAGTTGTTTACAGCTGTAAGAAGGCACGAGTTCAGACAGCACGTGTTCTTGTGTTCAGCTGAACAGAATGCAGAAGTCTTAAGATGTGTTTTCAGTGGCCAGGCTTACAAGCATTTATTCACTACAAAGGCTAGATGAAAATAAGATTTATCTTTTGAAATTGATTTTTTTTTTTACATTTTTATAAAATAAATATAAAAATAAACATAAATAAATACATATTTTCAATTTCAAAGAGGAATAATAATGGAAAAAATAAAAGATTTAAATATATAAATAAAATGTATATTATTATATTTATATTTTTCCTTTATTTGTCTTTTGAAATGGAATAAAATACCTATTTAGTTAGTTAGTTAGTTATTATAAAATAAATAAAATAACTAAATTAATATTTTTTTCAAAAGATTAAAAGATATAAGATGCATTTAAATATAAAATTTATAAAAATGTGTATTTTATTTTGCTATTGTTTTTTTCCCATTATTTGTGTATGTATTATGTATATATTTTATGCATCAAATATATTTAAAATGTAGACTAGTATAATCATAACACTAAATGTTGGCACAATACAAAAATTCTTAAAAATATAAAATTAAATTAATTTATTACATTTTTATTTCATTTTATTAAATTAAATTTTAAAAAGTATAAAAATCTAATTCTCAAAATTATCATCATTACTATAAAAAGCCTGAAAATGTGAGTTTGTCGTTGCACCACAAATAAATAAATAAATAAATATGTAAATGATATTTGTAAAATACAAATATATACAAATACTTCAGTGTGTACTTGAGTGTGGCTCCATCCAGACAGTAAATGATGTCCCATCTGCCCACAAACCGGATCATCAGCAGACAGTTTGTCTGGACATCCGACGGTTTCTGTCCAGTCTCTCTCTCTCTCTCTTTGTCTCTGTCTGTCTCTCTCTCTCAGACTAGCATCTGTTTCTCTGTGCCCCCTGTGGAGTTGACCTCTGACCCTTGCTTGAGCCTGAGTGTGTCCCTTTGAACATCTTATTTCTTCTCAGAAACCACTCCTGCCCTCTCTTTGTCTGTCTTTCACCATCCCTCGTTAAAGAAAAATAACAGGATATTTTGGAGTAAATGTTGATGCACTGCATCCGTGTCGTGCTGTCGATCCAGACACAGACATCATTTCAGCTCAAACCTCAGTGTGAATCTCACGTAAAGCGTGTCCAAGTCACCTTAAAATCTATTTTGCATAAAGAAAAAGAAGCCTGTTTTTCTTTGTGACGTTATTTTCATGCCATTTAAACCCCAGTCTCCTAGTTATGTCACATAGATGCGGATATAACATATATATAGAGTTGGATATAACTTTGCACAAGTGATGCATATCGCAATACATAAATTTACAGTTTAATTAATACATCATTTTTTCCATTAATGATAGAAATCAGACATTACGAAAAAAAAGTTAAGAGTCATTTAGTGATATTATTATGCTTGTGTGTGTATTTATTTATTTATTTGTGGTGTGAAACAGTTTCACAATTTCATACTTTTTAAAATAATGATAATATTGTGGTGTGAAACAGTTTCACAATTTCATACTTTTTTAAATAATGATAATAATTAGATTTTTATTTTTTAATAGAATGAAATTTAACAAAGTAATAATAAAATAAATACAAATATATATTTAATAAAAATAAATAATAAAAGATTATTCAGTGTTGTAGTTATACTTTTAAAACTCTGAGATAGCTTTCAATTAATTCGTATGTGTATATATATATATATATATATATATATGTATTTCACAGAGTTTTAAAGTAGTACATTAATTAATTAATTAATTAATTAATTAATTTTTATTTCTTTGTTTTTGTTTCTTTGTTTATTTTGTGGTGACACAAACATCACATTTTCACACTTTTTAGAGTAATGATGATAATTTTGTGAAGATAATAATTAAAATCTAATTTTGAGAATTTTATTTTTATTATTTTTTATTAATCTAATAAAATTAAATGTAATAAATTCCTTTAATTTTATATTTCAACGATTTTTATTTTTTTTGCATTGTGCAGTTATTTAGTGTTGTGATTATACTTTTAATAGTGTGATAGTTTTATATTTTAAATAAAAAAAATGTCTTTATGTATTTCTTTCTTTGAACATTTATTTATTTGTGGTGCAACAACAAACAAACAGATTAATGTTTGGATGGTGCCACAGAGTCAGAGTTTCACACTCTTTCTGTTAGAAGAAATGGAAGAGATGGGACTATTTGGAAAGATTGCTGATTTTGCCGTGGTTGTTCTTGCAGCTCCAGAGCACCGGCCGGTTATTGGAGGAGCAGCTTCCTGAAATGATGACGGAGCTGCTGGCGGCCGTGCGGGATAAGATGCTGTGTCCGTCTGAGTCTCAGCTCCCATTACTATTTAATAACCCCCGTTTTTTTTTTTTTTTTTTGAGAATTGGTGTTATAAATGTGCTTAATATTCATGAAAATTGTCACAGTGCAGCATTTCTTATTATTCCTGGAAATAGGCTTCATTTTATTAAGCAAAAAATAAAATTCTTAGATGTATTTTTTTTTCTATTTTTTATTTATTAAATTTTTTTGCATTACTTTAATGATCGTTAAGTACTCCTCTAAATCTTTTTTTTTTATGCATGATTTTTTTATATATATTTATATTTATTTTAATTAACCATTTTTGGGGGTAATTGTAGGTATGTGCTTAATATTCATGGAAATGATGCCAATGTGCACAAAGTCTTAATTGTCCTAAAAATAGGCTTCAAACCCCAGCAAAATTAAAATTCCCTATTCTTTTTTCTTCTTCTTTTGATTATGCTTTTGTTTTGATTATACTTCAAGATTCTCTGGCCGTGTTCACGAATTGTGTTGATTGAATTGTCAACCCCAGAGACTGGACGAGCTCTGGCGTCTTTTCTTTGGCCTGTGGGCAGTGCTTCATCCATCCGTCCTGTTCGAGTACCGAACACGAATTTTTTTTTTAATATTTTGCATGAAGAAAATTGAGGTTTTCTTCATGCAAAGTATGATTTTGCAATTTTTTCTTTTGATTTAGTGGTCAGATTTCCCCTCATAGTGATTTTTAGGCACATACAGTGCATACATATTGAATAGCTGATGCTCTGTGAGTGTGTGTTTGTCTTTCAAACACGTTTTCAGTTGTTGTTGTTGTTTTTTTTTGTTTTTTTTGTATTTTAGAGTTTCATTTGATTTGATCTCAGCATCGTCAGGGTTTGTTTTAGGCTCCGCCCCATTCAAGCAGCAGGCATCATGTGACCTTTGACTTCTTCAGTGTTGCGACCCACCAGACTATTGAATGCAGATCATCTTCATTTGCATCTTATTGACATGCAAATCAGATGTGGCAACCTTGTCAGCTGACCAAACTATAGATCTGGGCTCATTCAAAGATGTCAGCGATTCTTTTGTTTTTTATGCAACTGAAAATAAACTGAGAAGGGGTGTAACATGAAGTGTTTGTCCTTTTTTTTTTTTAAATGATTATAGCTCAGAGTGATGTTTGCTGTCCATTTTTTTTCTTTCGTGCAGAGTGAAGGACTGTCAACCGAACGACTTAAAGTGTTACTTTAGTATAATTGATATGCTATTATAGTATGTAATAATATTTTGAATGAGATTTTATTTACATATTTTCAGTTTGCATTTTAAATTTTAGTAATTTTATGTGCTTTTGTCATATATATATATATATATATATATATAAAACAACACTTCTTCGTGTTGTTTTGTTGCGCCCTGCTGTTGGTCCTAACCGTAATTAACAAATTTATGTACTAAATATTTTCTGATCATTCCAACTTTTTTTTGTGGGAACATTAAAATGTCTGGGTTCCTTAATACTAAAGAGTGTTTAAAAAAATATTTTAGAATAATCTTAGCAGCTTAGGATTCTAATAATGTCAGTTTTTTATGGTGATGTATATTACATTCTATATATATTCTATATATATATTAAATTCTGCTTCATCTGCCTTTACTGTCCACATTATGTAAACATTTCCAATTACTATATAAAGTATTAAAATAATATGTGTTTACAAGAAAGTTATTTTCCGTAACACTCAGAGCCTTTTGAGAACATTGCGGGAAAATCTAATTTAAGATGCTTTAGCATCTAAGTTCATTCAACCTGGTTGTGCAAAGGATTGTGGGTAATGTTACCTCAAAAAAGCATGAATGCACACTTTGAAAATCCACAAGAAATAGTACATCATTCAGACTCCTCTTGAACATCACATCCATGCAATTACTAATAAAAACTGATTAAATTACTAATAAAAATGACCAAATCACATAAAAAAAATCACTATAATTAAAATTAGAATTAAAACTGAAAATATAAAAAATAAAAGCTCATTCAAAAATATCCATTAACATTAATAAATACTATCAGAAGCAGATCCTGGCTCTAACGTGCTGTCTGTATGTCTTTATTAACAGCCCTTTTGTTTTCTCCTACACCCCCTCCATCATCATCATCCTCATCATCATCACCATAGCACCACCGACCCCCACCCCACCCTCACTCTGTTTGTGTGATTAATTGTCATGTCCAGGGTGAGTGTGTCGCCCGATTGTTTCTATTGTTTGTAGATGACAAAGAAGCATTTGGCTCCACACACACACACACACACACACACTGCTGGACGTTTGCTGCAGCTGCCACATGGTTTCAAGCATAGCGATCTGACAGCTGTGCAGGAGGACGGAGATCAGCTACCTGCAGAGAGAAAGTGTGTGTGAGTGAGTGACCGTCAAGCTGAATTGTTTGCATGATGGCCAGTGCATAAGTCCTCTGCAGTGAATGGATGCCGTCAGAATGATTTGTTTCTTGCAAACATGCAGCTTTTGGTTTCTCAAGTCGTTGATTGATGGTCTGGAGTGGTGTGGATTATTGTGATGTTTTTATCAGCTGTTTGGACTCTCATTCTGACGGCACCCATTCACTGCAGAGGATCCATTGCTGAGCGAGTGATGGAATGCTACATTTCTCCAAATCTGATGAAGAAACAAACTCATCTACATCTTGGATGACCTGAGGGTGAGTAAATTTTCAACAAATTTTCATTTCTGGGTGAACTATTCCCTTTAGTACTTCGTGTTCAAATATGCAACTCAGATATGTTCTGTTTTACAGTGATTTGTCGTTTATATTTCTCTCTCTCTCTCTCTGGAGGAACTGTACAACCATCGGCCCACATCCTGCCCCTGCCAGCGAGGAAATGATGTCATGACCTGTTCACTTCCTGAATGAACTGTTTAATGGTTCTGTTTTTCTGCCACATAACGTATTGCTGTTGGAGCCTGGAATTCTCTCTCTCTCTCGTTCAATCCCTCTCTCTCTTCTGCTCTGTTTTTCCCGCTTTCATCTTGTCTTTTGAGCAACCCCCCCCCTTGTTGAAAACCCAAACCTCTCTTAATTTCCAGCCAAGCCTGATCCGCTTCCAAATCCTCCCTGCCCTGCCTGCCAACACCAACAGGCCGGCCGCTCGGATCACAGAAGAGCAGGGAGGAACTCAAAGAGGGTCCCTTCTTCATCCTGCAGAGAGCGTTTGCTATATGGGTTAATCTGAACACTCTAATATCTCGATAGAGAGACACTTAGAAAAATGTTTGTAGTTCACCCAAAAAATCATATACTCGCACTCATGTTGTTCTAAATTTGACTGTTTTCTTTAGAATACAAAAGGAAATGTTCATGCTGCTTGTTCTATCTATCTATCTATCTATCTATCTATCTGTCTATCTATCTGTCTATCTATCTGTCTGTCTGTCTGTCGGTCTATGGTTCTGTCTGTGGTTGTGTCTGTCTGTCTGTCTGTCGGTCTATGGTTCTGTCTGTGGTTGTGTCTGTCTGTCCGGCTGTTTTTCGTCTGCAGGAGGTTGTATTTGTCTCTCCAGTGCTGTGTGTCTCACACACACACACACACTCACTCCCACGGTGTGTGTCGGCATGTGGTGTAGGTGTCAGCTTATGAGCACCTGATGTCTTTGTTGCTAAGCTCCTGCTCCTGTCTAGCAACTGTCACCGCGGAAACTGTCCTGGGAGTGTGCCCCTGTTGCTAGGCGACGTGAACTCTGTTGACAGGCTGACAGTTTGACCCCTGCTATGCTCTACAATGACAGCAGCAGCATGTCGTTCTCATCTGGAGACACATCGCTGCCGTCTCTCTGACTTCAACCTGAGGTGTGTTTTTTGTTGTGAGATTAAATACACAGTGGATGAACGAACATTTAAAATTCCTATAGCTCAAACAGTAAAGCATGGCATTAGGTCATGGGTTCAATTCCCAGACAATACATGTACAATGCATGTCCCAGACACTTACATGCAAATGTAAGTAAGTAAGGCTTTATTTATATAGTACCTTTTAAAACTGTTCACAAAGTGCTTTATAGAAGAGAAATACATGTGTGCATTCACAGAAAATACATACATAAAAGAAATAAAATAATAAAACAAAAAATTGAATGCGTGATGATTGTAACGGAAAGTAAAGTGCATGAAAGCAATGCTAACATTATTATTTAATTTACTCGTGGTTAATGTTTTATGAGATGCATAACCTAACCAGATTTTATTGCTCTTTAATGTGATATGTTGTTTGTTTGCTATTCTTGCATTTCTGGTCTGACTGAAGTATTGTGCATACATAAACAGCATGGCTTGCACGCTCCCATTTAAATCATGAAATATGCATCAAAATAACATGACAACATTTTTCCTTGTTTTATCATATCAGATTAATGATTGTAAACTGTGGTTAATATGTTTTGATGAAACATCTGTGATGAATTGTACATCAGTAAATCAACAATCCCATGCTATGGGCATTAGCATTCATCCCAGATAGCACATGTACGTCTGCAAGATGTCTGTTAAAGATCACTTCATCTGGAAAGCATCTTCCGTGTACAAACATCTGATAGACGTCTTTAAGATGTCAGTTTTACATACATTCTAAATCATAAACATCTTAAAGACATTTTCTAAATGTCTATTTGACATTTGATTGGAGACGCATTGCAGATGAGCAAACAGTCTAAAAAATACGTCTTGCAGATGTCAAATAGACGTCTCCGTGACATCATCCAAGTGCACACACACAACAGTGAGTAGTGAACACACACACACCGTGAACACACACCCGGAGCAGTGGGCAGCCATGTGCCACGGCACCCAGGGAGCAGTTGGGGTTTCGGTTTCAAGAGTCTCACCTCAGTCTTGGTAGTAAGGGTGGAAGAGAGCGCTGGTCATTCACTCTCCCCGCCTACAATCCCTGCCTGTACCGAGACTCGAACCTGTGCCCTTTGGGTTACAAGTCAGACTCTTTAACCATTAGGCAACGACTGCAGCAACCAATGCTCCTCTTGAGATCAGGGGAGTGAGGTTTACCTGCACAGCTCTCATAGCTGGCCTCCGTTACACTAGCATTTAAATTAAGTTGAAAATAACCAAGTCCTTTGCTGGCTGACCCGAGCAATCATTTACACTGATGAAATGGCAGCCGAGTCCCTTCAGTCGAGTGCACAAGTTTTCATGCCGGTCAGGAGGTTCTCAAAACATCTACAGCTACACACACATACACACAGCTCATTGATTTGCGAGGTGGCATGTGTCTCGATGAGTGAACGTGTGTATGTGTGCATGTTTAAAGCAGCTCCACATGAAAGTTTGAACCCAACACCGCAGTCACATGATCCGTTCTACAACGAACCCCGTTGTTCGCCAGGAGGTTTGATTTGGCAGGCCGTCAGTTATTACACACACAGGTGTGTGTTTGTGTGAACGGCAGGATTATTTGCCTCCGCCGTCACTGTGGTTTCTGTCCTAGTTTTGAGTCTTTGATGGTGGATTTTATCAGCATTTAGTGCAAAATAAGTGACATTATTGGCTTACAAATCATAAGCAGAGATTTGCTACCAGGCGACAGTAATTAGAGATGTTTGCTAAGTCAAGAATCACAGTTACTGTTGCTCATATTTAGTGTTAGTGATGCGATCTAACATTCAGTGTGTGCATCGATTAGACGCACCATTTTCACCTGCTGGACCATAAAGTTAGTATTAACATCATAAACTGAAGCAATCTTTCCTTGGCTTACTTATCAAACGTTTTAAAATTGATCATCTGAGTCTAATATGATCCAGCAAGGCCGTAAATTGCCCATCCCTGATCTAAAAAATCTTTAATGAAGATGTATTTACTTGAAAACCAATATTTTGATAAAACATCCTAGCAACTGCATTGCAACACACAGCACCATAAGAAAACACCTAGCAACTCCATAGCAACGCCGGTGAGTGTGATTTCACCAAGTACAACATGTTCCTGGATCAACATCCTTGTTGATCCTGGAACATCATTCCAATCAACCAATCAGAATTGAGAGATAACTTTTCAGGAAATGTCAGTTTTAGGCTTACAATCAGGATTAGGTGCTTCTACACCCTTGTTAATCAGCTATCATTTCCCTCTGATTTTAGGAATAAATTATGGGTAAGGTTAGGTTTAGGGGTAGGGATTGGGTTTAGTCTATATTTTTGGACAGTAATGTTGATCCAGGATCAACAAAAGATGTTGATCCAGGAACATGTCTTACTTGGCAAAATCACGGCGACCTAGCAACGCCCTAGAAACCACCCAGAACACCCTAGCAACTGCAAAGCAACACCCTGCACAGCACCATAAGAAAACACCTGCATAGCAACACCATGGGAACCATCCAGAACGCCCTGGAAACATACAGCACCATAAGAAAATACCTAGCAACTGCATAGCAACACCCTAGAAACCACCCAGAACACCCTAGCAACTGCATAGTAATGCCCTGGCAATGCATAGCAGAATAAGAAAACACCTAGCAATTGTTTAGCAACACACTGGAGACCGTGGAAACAACACAGAGCACCCTAGCAACTGCATAGCAACGCCCTAGCAACACACATGGTGGTCAGATTTGCAGACGTTTGCAGAGGTTTTTTTTCCTGTTTATTTTGACTTTAATTGAGAATATTCCTGAATAAATGGACACGTCTCACTCAGATGCTGCTGCTGTTGTGAATTCACTTTTTCTTCCACTTGAGTTTTTTTCCCACAGTTGTGTTTTCACACCTCTGATGTTTATCACCAGCAGACTGTTAAAATGTATTCTTGTCCGTCTCACACAGGAGACAAAACGAGACAGAAACCTGCAGAGAGATCCTGTGAAGATGACAAAATACTCTATATACTGATCGTGTTTCCTCTATTAGGATGGTGCAGTGTTATTTTAGTATTATTTATTTATTTCCTAGTATTGTATTTAGTAATATTTTGAATTATTTTACATATATTTTCAATTTACATTTAAATTTTAGTTTATGGATTAGTAATTTTCTTATGTGCTTTTGTTTATTTCAGTTTTAAGTTGAATAAATTTAGTACTTAAAGGGGTCATATGATGCGATTTCAATTTTTCCTTTCTCTTTGGAGTGTTACAAGCTCTTGGTGCATAAAGAAGATCTGTAAAGTTGCAAAGTCTCAAATCCAAAGAGATGTTCTTTATAAAAGTTAAGAGTCAGCCACACCTACCTAAAACGGCTCGTTCTAACACACCCCCACATATCTACATCACTATCTGGGAAGATTTGCATAACACTGCCCAAATGTTCACGCAAAGAAAGAAGGCGTAACTTTTATTCTCACTGTAGTATTGTTGCTGCCGCCATGTCGTGAAGACG